AAACATTTTGCAAGAAACTTTGAATAATGCAAATATTACTGATCTTGGACTTTCTAAAAAAGTAAAGGAGGGAGAAATTTGTGGAGTTCTGCCATATATAGCACCTGAGATTTTGATGGGTCAACCATATACTGAAGCATCAGATATTTACAGTCTTGGAGTTATCGCAACTGAGATTTCGACTGGACAAAGAGCATTTGATGGGATTCCATTCGATGATCATCTTGCATTAAGAATTATTGATGGATCAAGACCTAAATGTTTAGGACCAGAATGTTATGTTAAATTAGCTATGAAATGTATGGATAATGATTTTAATAAACGACCTACAGCAACTGAAATTGCTAAAATAATTACTCGTTTGTTGGATAAAATAGATCAGGAAGATGATAATGAAATTACAAAACAAATTTTGGAAGCTAATAATATTAAACCAGAGCTGAGTGGACAAATACATTCACCAGACACATATACCAGCAAACTATATGATACGAAAAAAATTTCAGAATATCGATATATTAGTAAACCGATGAGTCCGGTGGAAATCTCAGCCAAATTCTCAAATTTAGATTTAAATTGAACTATATATATTTGTTCATGTAACATGCGCTTAGGAAATAATTTTCTTAGTTATTCACTATTATATTACAGAAATAAATAGTTTTTTCTCGTTAATCTAAAAGTTTTAGATTGCAAATCGCTTTGGTTATATCGACGTTCCCTAAAATATACAAATTGCTAGATGTTATTTCAACCAAAAGCATTTTATATTATGTATATATGTTGAAAATTTTTGAAACCGCTATTATAGTCAGATGTTGTTCTATCCAGATGTCGTATTCCTCTTATTATTTGCGTCTTGGTGTATCCTTTAAAATCAGGTTTACCTTATTTAAACATTTAATAGTGTTTTTCAATAATGGGCGTTTAAACGATAAATTTTCATTTCATTGACTATTTTGAGTTAATAAAGTAACCTATTTTATTCTAGTTTTACTTTCTTGTCTGATACGAAATTGACAGACGGTAGAGTTTCGCAGTAATCTTTATGCATATATATAAGCTGATTTGGAGAATTCAATCACATTTACATCGAACTTTCGTACGGATACTAGTGTTGTTTATCTAGGCAGTATTTTATTCATAATACATATCATAAATAATTAATGCTATATGAAAAATATTAATTAGACCTATATGAACTTACACGCCTTAATTTAAATCAAACGTGTATCAAAAATGGTAAAATTCGAATTAATATATATTGACGGTGGATATACATGCGTTACGAATAAAGGAGTAAGATAATTAAACGTTGAATATCTTTTCTTCCTAATTTTCTTGTAAGTAATTATGATTTTTATTCATCTTTATTGATATTATTTTTATGTAGGCTTAATGCACTTACTTTTCTTGAATTTGGATTTCACTTAAGTAATTTTGTTCTATCGTAATATTTTAGTGATAATAAAGCATCAAACTTTTAAATCGGTTATGTCTAAATTTGATAACCTTTTGTTGAGTTATTTTGTTTAAAAGTTCAAAAAAACTTAACTTTCATTAAAAAAAGATTGGAGCGTTTCTACTGACTCACTCCATTTATTATATTTTATTTAAATAGAATAAAGTATTAGTTAAATAAATAATTTAATTTAATAAGAATAAATTCACTTTTAAAATTTATTGATCTGTTATTCAAATGTAATCACTTCAACAGTATTGATTTCATTATTAGCTATATCATTTTTAACGTTTTTATCAGTTGTTAGTTCATTCTGTTGTATTGATTTTTCTTTTTGTTTTTCTGACCATGTTAAAAACAAACCCTTTCTATATTGATATTGATAAATAATCCATAACTTTAAAAATCTATAACCTCTTATAAATAAAACCATTAATGCAATT